CAGAACAGTTACAATTTGCCAAGATGATAGTAAACCAAATATTATTTTACGATGTTCAGCACCTTCTCATATGTATTACCTGAAGGATACAAATACAGCTTCATGATTTGTAAATATTTAATTACTTTGAAACAGAATGAAAATGTTTAAAGAAAGGTCAGGTAAGTCTAACGGATGTAGTGAAATTTCCAATCTCACTTCCATCCTTTTCTGAAGACTTGTCTCTAAAGTATGTGTATTAAGGCGAAGAATTATTCAACTCTTTTACTTGCATTGCTTTTAATTTTTCTGGCATACGATCGTTTTCTTAGCAGTCTCGACCTCCTTTAACTGATCTTCCCTCATGCATAAAAGAAAAGGGGATTAGCCGTTTCTCTGTTCACAATACATTCTCAAAATGCGGCGAAGTTTGCTGTTATTCAAACGCTGTACCCACCTTTTACCATTATCGCCATTTTCCCACTCACATGTTTTGAAAGATGTCTGAATTTATTAGTTATTCAGACAAATAATTGAGAAATAAGCAAAGCTTATATTCGGTCAAATCATGTGGAATCGATTTTGGTATAGGAAGCAATGACGGGTGAACTGGGGAATATACGGATTTTTCATATTTAAACATTACAGACACACACACGTATATATATATATATATATATATATATATATATATATATATATATATATATATATATATGTAAAAGTGAAAGACGTGAAGGTTCGTAATGATCGCTCCTATTCAAAACAACACAAAAATAAAATAAAAGAGTCAAAACATAAAGACAAACTACTAACAACACCAAAACAACACCTCCTTGAAATATATATATATATATATATATATATATATATATATATATATATGCGTGTGTGTGTGTGTGTGTGTGTGTGTATAAATTCTACGTATGCCAAAAGCGATATTTGTCAAAAGTAAGGCTAAATAAATACAGTACTGAATATATATATATATATAGATAGATAGATAGATAGATAGATAGATAGATAGATAGATAGTATTCTTAAAACAGGGAATATATTTTCAATCAAAAAGTCGCATACAAAAGTATGATGCCGATTAAAAAAGAAATTTTAAGATACCTTTGGTCGACGCTTCGTCAGAAGAAAAATCGTCGGATTGGGAGACATTACGGAAAGGAAATATAGTTCTTTGGAATAGAATTAAGAGAAACAACGTGAATGGGTAAGGTAAAAAAGTAAAAAAAAAAACAAACATTAAAATAGCGAAGAACAAGACAAAAACTCGCCGAAGAGTGCCATTTTATTTTTAAATTCAAAATAAAAAAATGACACACTTCGGCGGGTCCCTGTCTTGGTGTCGACAACTTTAAATTTACCATAACATTTGTCCTTTTAATCGATCGTAACGATACCTTTTTATCTGAAATTTTGATTAATAAAATCGTTCCCTGTATTACGAATGCTATTTAGTTGTGTGGCACCAAAAATCTTTTTCATATATATATATATATATATATATATATATATATATATATATATATATATATATATATATATATATATATATATATATATTTAAATATATATTATTAATTATAACAGACAATGAATGTCCATTACATTTGATCATGAGCCGTTCTAAATTTCGTATGGTAACTTTAATTTCGGGTAAAAATAAAGACAAACATTGTCCAACATTCGGATATTTTTATTAAGGTGTTGATCTAAGCTTTCGGCTCGCAAAGTGGTTATACGGACATTTAAACAAAGATATTCATCAAAGATGATATTCAGTTATATTGACATAGAAGAAAGTTTAGATCAAGAAACAGATTTAAAAAAATATCCAAGTTTGGGGCAATTTTTTCTTTATTTTCACGCGAAATTAAAGCAAATATTTAGAACGGCTCATGATCAAACATAACAGAAATACATTGACTGTTATATTTAACAATTTATGTTTAAATAATGATCTGCTGCCCCAATACACAAAAATCTATCTATCTATCTATCTATCTCTCTCTCTCTCTCTCTCTCTCTATATATATATATATATATATATATATATATATATATATATATGTATGTATGTATGTATGTATGTATGTATAAGAAGAGAGAGAGAGAGTGGGGAGGTCACAAAAACGAAAGAACCGTGGAAACAAAATGGGATCATGAAAGAATAGAAAGTGCTTATCTTCCAAGGACGTTCATCCTAACATATGTTACTATATAACGGGATGTCCATTCTGATTTATCTGAAGTGAAAAAGTGTCTATCTGAATTCCGAAGGGGTACGGAGAGACTTGAATATCTGAGCGTACTGCAACTGAGGAAAATGTTCATTGGTTTCAGCACATGAATGTTTCAATGGCTACCGTGCGTGATCGTACCTTTGAACTGGTTGTTAATTCTCACAATTCTCACAAATCTCTTATTGGTACCATCTGACTATCATTTTTACCCCAACATGATGAAACACTTTCCTGGGAGCTACTATTGCAGTGACGATGACGTCATA